GACCGTGGTCCCACCTACGGTCTGTAGGTCCTAGCATGGGTCAAGACTTGGCTGAAAAAATTATGGGGTTCTGGGAAGGGAGCTGTCGGTGGCCAACCACGGACCCCACCTACGGTTCGTGGGTCACCCTACAGTTCGTAGGTGACACCATTGGTGGCACCTGCAACTTCTGGAATCTACATTTCTGGTCTGTCTAGAATACGGGGTGTTACATGAGCAATACCTTTTAGTTAATAAGTGGCCAATTCCATTTTCTCAACCGCAAACAATCTCATAATCCCTACTATCTTGTAAATCTCATCAATGAACTCTTGAGGATCTTCATCAACCTTAGACCCATGGAATTCCGAAGGAAAAATCCTAGTGAAGTCCTTTATCTTTGTCGCCGCCGTACCCACATTTTGGTTCACGGTAGCATTAGCCTCTCTATTGGCTTAGGCCGTCAGGGCTTGAGCCAACACTTGCAAAACGGCTCGAAATTCGACACAAGTCACTTGTTCGGCCAAAGGATCAACGGGAACTTAAGGAACCTCGGACTCCACATTGTTGTTACCCGCATTCCTTCTCACATAAGCTCTTTGAGGGGACATAGTACCCTATAAAGGATCGAACACGATTTAGGAGAAGGATCTTATAGAGATAAACTCTATGGTACGACTTTAGACTAATGAAAGAAGTGAAGTTTCCTAAATTCTTTGTAGCCTCTTATTCATAAATGTGGCGCGCTTGACACTCGTGAACAAGACTCTACTCAACATGGCTTGACAAACATCCTAGAACGTCTTTCTAAAACCTTGTGCTTTGAATACCAAGTTTGTCACGATCCAAAGTATATCCTAGACCTAACATGGCGTATATGACCCCAAGAGGCCAAACATAAGCCACTTGACATAAATTCAACACAAAATAATAGACAAAAGTAAAGAGTCTCATATTAAGAAAATAGTTTTGACATTTCAAAGGAGAAGTCTAACATAGTCTTGACGAGCCATCAATTACACCAAAAGGAGTAGTCGGGGCGTGACCCATACACCACATATGATATTCAAAACTTAAAGACATAAGAAGAGCAATAATAATGACATGGTCCTCGGAGTATGAGGACTCACCAAGTCTTCCAATCTTTAGGTGCTCACTAGCCACGAACAAAGGGAGAGGAATCGTCAAGCCCTACATTAGTGAAACAATGTAGGCACAAGTATGCATTAGTACATTAAGTATGAGAGAAATGCAATAAGACACGGGACATGATCATAAGGGGACATAATTGAAAATATGGTATGCATGACCAAGCTAAACCTAGTCAAATCTTTTAAGGAGAATAGCAAATCATGAGCATGGTCAATGCATCTTAAAACATAAAGAAAGCTTCATAAACCCTTTGAAAGTAAATTAGTTCATTTTGTGGGATATTAGATTTAACCGACAATAGACCATGCGAGCTATACATGCAATCTGATATAACTCCCACATCAAGAAGGGAGAGTCTAGTTGACAAGGTAGAACTATGTATCATATCTTGTGCTATATATGGATCCACTAGCTAGTCAATTTAAGGCAAACTTACAGGGGCACGTAGTTTGGAGCTAGAGGTTGCTACTAGAGACTACCCTATTTGAGCCTCCACCTCAAGGTTCTCTCGGTGCTAAATCAAATCCCAACATAATAGATATATTCATAACGTTATCATCATACATGGAAAAGTACAATTCAAATACTAGCTAATACAAGCTTAACCATCATAGATTAGCTCCTTAAATCTTGAATCAAGTATAAGTGAGAAAAACCTTTCACCAAGTCATGATCCCTTAATATGTGAGAAAACCTTTCACAATTTTATTGATGCTCATCCTAAAGCAACCTAGATTGTAAAATGACCCCCTTTCATAAATCATGCATTAGTTCATGAAAACACCATTCCTTGATTCATAGCCTTTCTTCAAATTCATGCAAATTAGGGTTCATTGTCAAAGATCATGTATCATGCATGGGTTCATGTGATTTCAATTGGAAAATATGTAATTGAGTTAAAACAGTCATAAAAAGATCAAATTCAAACAATTGAATCAATATGAATAGAACTCGTGAAGAATTGATTAGAAACTAACCGATCAAGAGAAATTGAATTGGAGAAGTCTTTGGGACTCAATGGGTGAAGGAAACTCGTTGATAAACTCCTTACATACTTTAATCTCAAATCCCACAAGCAATTGATGAAGAAACCTTGAAGACTTAAAGAACCCAGGAAATTCCTTAAGAGCCTTCGATAGAAAACCTTTGAGAGGAAATTTGGAGATTTTGGGGGAATGATGGAGAATGGGTAGATTTAGGGGTAAAACTTTGTTATAGGGGCTTATCTAAAGGCAAAATGACATAGTATAGGAATTAGGTGCATAGGAAAAGACCCAAATACCCTTTAAAATAATTGTCGGCAAACCCTATGGTCCGTAGAACTGGTCAACCATACACCAAGTACTGGAGCCTAAAATTTCATCCAACTTTGACGAGACCTTTCTACGGTCCGTAGACCCAAACCGTAGAACTCAACTTAAGCCCAAAATTTTACAAAGTTTGGAACCTTCCTATGGGACCTTCCTGCGGTCCGTAGTCCATTCGACAGACCGTCCTGGTCAATCGTAGAATAGGTTACTAGGCTTTGATTTACAAAATATTTCCCCACTTCCTACGAGACTAGTCTACAACCCGTAGAACTTGCTACAAACTGTAGACTAGTTTTGTTGAATTGTACCAGTATCCCTTTTTGGCCTTTTTTTTCTTTTCTAAATTTTGAGGTGTTACAGCACTACAATACCATTTTTAACCCGTCAAGGCTACCATTTTCAATCCATGCTTTTTTCAACACACATGCTATTTTTAACCTAAAAAAGGGCCAGCAACAGTCTCTCTTTGAATGCCCAAAAAGGTTTTACCGATTAAAAAAGATCAAATCTAGTCAATGAAAATGAAATTATATTTTATAGCCTATGTCATGCATTGTTGTGATGGAAGAAAAGTGTTTAACACAATACTTGGCAAATCCTACAATTGTCCAAATAAAATCACTTCAAAAGAACTTCTACACAAGACAATGACATGGAATATGTTTTCGAAGCACAAAATCAAAAGAAAAAGAAAAAAGACGAAAATAAATTTTGCATGTTCAAAAACAATAAAAAGAATTTAGCATCAACTCCAAAGCAAAAATTGAAGAGGAGCATTTTTTTTTAAATTACAGTAACTAAAGCAAAGGAGGACTGTTGAAATTTGTTTTTAGTTACTATAGTGATTCTTAGCAAAATAAGTTGAACTTTAAATTTTAGTTAGGTTGTTTGAATAGTTGAGATATTTTAGATTGTTTTAAATTTCAAATTATGCAGATTATTCTTTCATGCTGGCTATTAAAAGTCCTTCAATGCTCAATGAAATTATTGAAAGCTATTAAAAGATATTTCAATCGAAAGTTCAATCAATTCTTTTTGCTCCCCCAATTTTAAAAAACACCAACATGACAGTTCCACTCGAGGCCAAAATGCTATGCCCAATCGAAATGCTCCACATAGGAATATTGTTATGTATCTCAGCTAATATTCCTCTATAATTTGCAAAATATCGTAAAGATAAATTTGGTGTATTTGTCCTTTCGTACCTTTATTTCATGTCCCAGACACGAGTTCTTAAAATTATACTTCCCTTAATTTAGGCCACGAGTTTCCTCGTTTTCCTCTAAAAGTTACCGTCCGACTATGCTAGCGATCAGACCAGATCAAGCTAATTAGTCAACCACCGATCCGAACACTTGACCGGTGAACCTTTCATGAGAACATCTTCTTTGATCCTTAAGGCAACATCATATCCAAACTTTATCCTAATGCCATGTTTCCACCCTACATGCAACCACCTATATAGGTTATTTTTCCCCAATACAACCCTTAGGGAGGGAAGAGCCAACACCAAATCGATGGGAACTAGGAGGAAAAATCAATGGTAGACCATTGAGATAGAGGTAGCTAGAAATTTTTGGGCGGAATCTTGACAAGTGATGATGAAATGGAGTAAATGCACTGCCCATGTTCGAAACATGGTAAAAAATACCAATGATTCGAAACATATTTGTCTATAGAGTTACTTGTTCCAATTCTTAGTCATATTTTATCTCACTAAATCACATTAAATGATTTACACTTGAGAAAGAATCCAGGTTTTGTCAAACATGTAAAGAGGGCTTCAGATGATTATTCCCATTTGCCACCCCATAGAAACCCATACAACATTTACTACACAAAAAACTCTTTCCAGTCAAACTTCACTAGCCATGAGTAGTGATCAAAGATAATATAATCTTTAGAACCCATAATGAGTTATTGTCATTTGCCACCCTATAGAATTAGGATGTGTATCGAAAAAATATCTTGAGACGTTTGTTTAGAAGCTCAAACTGTTTAATCTAATACGTTAGGCTTTGAACTATGTATGTGGAGAAGTACCAGTGCTTTTACTTAGACGCTGGACATGTTTCTTGGACATGACGAATTCCTGGCTTTTGCTTATTCCTGGAACCAACATTCCCCTCTGCATTACCTTCTCCAATAAGTTTCTATCTTCCTCAGAGAACTGCACCTTGGATGTTTTTGGTGGGAAAGCCTTATTGGATCTTCTCAGGCTGATCATGTGATGAAGCCATGTCACTAGTTCAATGATAAGTTCATCCATCTTCTCTTTGTCTGCATGATACAGAGTTTGCAACCGAATGATCTTCTTGTGTCCACGACTCATCTTGCCTAAATCATTTCTGATACAAACAAACATGGACAATAGTAAATGTCAAGTATATGATTTGATCGGGAGTGGGGTGGGGTGTTGTAACACTAAAATATGCAGTAACTGACCCAGTATTAGCCCACCCGAAACCTTGAAGTGCTCTGTTAGATGCAAAACAATAGTATGAATAAATACATTGGACCAACTTTTAGGTTTTTATAACAAAAAACAAAATTTGTTGATTTCAACATCACCACCAACGGGTACCTACCTTTTAGTATTTGTAGCTATTGGAACAAGCCACTGAAGTGTTATTCCCAAATCTGCTTTGATCTGAGAAAGCGTGAGCTGCAACAACAACAATGACAAACAACTATGTTACATACATATAACACCACTTTATGTAGAAAAATAATATGTAGAGGACTAACCTCTTCCTTAGAGACTGCCTGCAACCGAGAACGAAGGGATGTCTTCACGTTGGGGGGTAATCCATTATATAGTGCATCCCTCATGTTATCAGAAGGAGAAGTGGGGTATAAGGCCTGACATGATATCAAATCCCATAATAACTATTTGCACTAGTTACGTTATAGGAGATTAATTGAGTCAGAAAGTACTTACAATGGCATCTATTCGAGTAATTAAGTTAGCATAGTGTAAAGCAAGACCAGCTTCTCCCAGTGTTTCTGATTTTCTTCTAGGCGAGGATGTCAACCCTACTAAAAACATACACATAATATTTCATAAAAGCATTTGTACTACAGGAAAGTAACCTGAAACATTGACCATTAAAGAAAAGGTAAAGCTTCATAAATATAACAGCACTGGGTATGTTAATAGGTTTTCAAGTTTGTAGATAACCATTTGCATATCTTTTCCTGTTCCTCTTTTTTTTTCTTTTTTTTTTCTCTTTTTTTCCAATTCATCCTACTTCAGCCTCTATTCTATAGAAATTGATGTATTTGGTTTCATGTAGAACAAATATATAGACCACAATTTAGGAAAATACATAAATGATGTGACGGAATCTTGGTTTGATCATCTATAATTTTTAGCAAGAAAGGATGTTCAAAAGATATTTTTTTGACAAGTGAAGAGACGTAACACGACAAAGCTAAAAGATTATTCACAGGACTTTTTTATCCTAAAACATAGCATTATTTGTAAAGAAGATTTAAATGCAAAGTCTTATACAGGAAAAAGGAAGACAATCCTTAGTTTGGGACACTTGAGCAATACCAATGCAAACAGCTAGATTTAAAATTCTTGGAGTTGTTTGTGACAGATTATTATGAAGTGCTATTGAATTTAAAAGAAACAATTCAAGAGAGGCCAAGGTATTTGTATTAGTTGGTTCCAATCCTTTCATGCTCGCCAAAACCTAAAACAAGTTCCTTAGGCACTTTTCATGTGCACAGGGACATATTAAGCCAATCAAATTTAGTGTTAAAAATAATGTATGTTTAAATTAACTCGTTTCCTTATCATATTAAGCTAATTAAACTGGTTTAGGTTTGTTCTTTACACAATTCAATTAAATAAAATCCAAATGCTTGCAAAACTCTCCTCATAATCATAGTATTTATTTTTGACAATATACCAAATCACTTTATATAGATACGAATCATCTTATTCCTTGTACGTAGCCAACTAATCTTATTGTGATCATATTTTTCTTGTGGTATATATGTTCCTCAAGTCAATATATGTTTAATTCTATATGACTAATCATAGCTTAGGGGTTTAGAGCCTCAATTCTATATTATCAGATGGATTTGACAACAAAGATATAAGTACTAGTATGCCTACGACCACACCAACTTGTGAAATGTTTACAAAACTTCTGGATATTCTCGTACCATCATATCCATATGCCTCTGAAATCTCTTGATGAATAAAAGTAGCAATGTCAACAAGCTTCTCTACAACCTACAAGGATGAAGATAAAAAATAAAAGGATGAAGAATGTTAAGTCCATAAACATTTAAAAAGTAGAAGACAAATTTTCATTTCAACTACTATTATTGAAGCAATTTTCCCTTCTACAGTGATCCTTATAATTTTCATTTTATTTCTCAATGGAATTCAAAATGATTTTTGGTCAAAGTACCTCCTCCAGACTCTTGAACCAAAGACTCTTCTTTTTCAAGTTCCTCACAGATTTTCTTTGATGTTTTAGCTCGCTTTCTAACATCATGACATGTTCTCCTACAAGTGAAGGAAAACATTCAATTTGTCAGTTTAACATGGTATTAATCAATTTAACAAACATAAACAAAATGCCTCTTGTCCTCCAATTGACCTAAGTTCTTGGTTAAACGAGTATCAGTAGAGTGTGGAAAAAGATGAGTATACTGATGTCAAATTGTAGGAATACACATTATATCCAACTCAGTTCAACATAATATCACTGAAACATGTTAAGTGACTTCCCATATTTAGAGGCCTATAATTTGGATATACTGTTTACAATCTCATGCTTTTTTGCTAGCATCATACATAACATGCTATTTTTTGAAATTGTATCGGATTGTCTCGTTGCAGTAAAAAAAAAATTAAAAGTTTTTAGAACCCAAAGGACAAATCTTCTGAATAGGAGAATGCTACCAGATAACAACATGCCTCCAGAATATCAAGAACTTTGCTTGAAATGTAATCTTACTTGACTCATTATTTAAGGCGTAACCTTACCTGGAAACTTCTACTTAGATGCAATAGAATAGTTAAATTCATCTAAGTTGCTCGGACTCGGGTGCGGGTATCCGAGACGGATGCGAATCCGAGAGTCGGATTCGGCAAAATTTAAATTTTAAGATTCGGGGGTGCGAATCCGAGTATGGATACGGGTGCGGGGATACGGCTAGTTGGTATACATGGTATATATAATATAATGTGTAATATATTATATATACATAGTATAATTGTTTATTATTTTTAGCGTACCTCGAAAAATAAATTATATCAATAACAACAATAATAATATATCTAGTATAATCAAATAAGTGGATATATATATATATATATATATATATAATAAAATATTATTAAAAATATTTATGAAATATATTTAATAATGAATTGCATATTTTGGTATAATTACAAACAAAATAAAAGGAGTATAATTGTTAAAGAAAAGAGAGAATATAATAAATATTAAAAGTAATAATTTATTTTATAAATATAAAAGGACACACTTATCTAGAGAAACCCTCAGCCTTTAGTTATCTTTTTCAAGAAAAGTTGAAAAGTTGAAAAGACTTTACTTTTTCAAAAAAATAAAAAAGCTGTACTTCCTGTACTTTTTCAAGAAAAAACTCCTCCTCTTTCTTCTTCTCTTTACTTTTTCAATGAAGAAAAAACTCCTCTTTCTTCTTCTTTTTACTTTTTCAAGCTTCTTACAGCTCCGCCGCCTCTCTGAAGAGGTCGCCGGAAACTGATCTCTTTTTCCCCAAATTTTTTTTTCGGCTCTGGTCAAAGTGTCCGGATCGGATTGACCGAATCCGACACGCACCCCGCACCCGCACCAGTGTCGCGTCGAGACGGGTTCGCCTTCAAAAATGAAGAGTCCGCGCAACATAGAAATTCATACCAAACTGATGAAATCAAGTTGTACACTGAATAAATATTGCTACTTTCTATTGCAAATTTTCCTTGTAAAAGTTAATCTTCAAAAGAAACTACGAATTAAATTTTAAGGCAACATGAGATCCAATTATTTTCTTCCACCAAATTTCATTCAACCCCCTCTCCTCCAGAGGCATAGCTAAGGAGTAAGACAGTATCACAGAAAATTGAAGTAAAATTGTACCTTCGAGAGACAGTTTTAAAAAAATTAATGCCTCAATTTTTCTTTGATAATCCTTTTCAAATTTATCCAGTGTGTGAAGCTCATGATACAGTTCCTGAAAAAGAAATGAGGAGTCACACCGTCATCTTTGCATATAGAAGAGAAACTAATGATGTGAACCATATCAATCCTTGTAGAGAAAATGTCATTTAACACTAATAAATGTCAATGAATTTCCTCTGGGTGATTTACTTTATACCACTCCAGCATACTTGTCTACAGATTTTATAATTCCATCGATCAACAAAATACCATAACAAGTAAATAAAATCTTGACAAGTAAATTAATAACAAACATAAGTGCCTTCTAACCCACCCCATTAATCCAAAAGAGAAGGTATGAGCCTATGTATTTGCATGACCCCCGCACATTTAACCCTATCAATTCCTATACCAATGACCCACTCCGCTTGTTCAGTACTACAAACTATTATAGAAGGTTCAATGTCATTTAAGGAAGGTCCACAAGAAAGAGAATTGTTTTTGTTGAAGAAATAACAATAAAATAAGCTCAAACTAAAGTTGGCAGATTTTATAACTAGTTCTCATGCTACAGGCTAGTTGCACTATCAAAACACAAAACCACACTCCACTATCTACTAACCTTCTACCCTAATGCACGTACTTCACATTCTCTTATCTAAGGTCATGTACTCGGTAATTTGAAGGTGCACCATGTCCTGTCTAATCATTTCTCCCCAACATTTATCTAGCCTAACTCTACCTCTCCTCGTACCTACTATATCTAACATCTCGCACCTCCTCACTAGGGCATCCACGCATATGAAGAAGACTATTGATTGAAAGAAAGAGCTCTTGATAATCATCATATCATACTATACTAAAAGTATCATACTATACTAAAAGTGGGACCATCTTAAGTTGAAATTTGGATTTAAAAAATACCCTTTAGATATTGAATGACCAATTTATCCTCTCCTAACAATAAAATTTACCCCATTAAATTATTAAGTAATTACTTGTATTCCATCAATTTGTGGATTTTCTTATCTTAATTAAGCAGCCTTAATTGTTTGTTATTTTGTATTCCATGATGATTACTTTTCATTCCATTAGTTTACAAGACCATTCATCTACCAAACCAATCCTTACTAATGGGGAACGAATTAAGGGAGAAGGTTAGGGATGATGGATGTCAATTGTTATTGCTCTCAACATCCAATGGTGTTCTTACTTAGCATCACACTAAATTCATCTTGATAATTCCAAATTACATTGGAAAAGTTATCACTCACCGCTACAAATTAGGAACTTACCTTTCATCAAATTCCAAGTTGAGATGAAGAGGAAAAAAGTTTAAAAAAAAAAAAAGAAAAAAAAAGTTGAGCAAAGATGGAAAACATAAGAACAACTTCATTACACACAGGAGTATAAGACTTCTATAGTTCACTCTTTTCTTCGAGGTTCAAGCTATAGCAAACAATAGAAGTTGTGCAATAGATATTTCATGCAGGAAGCTTTTTAATTGGATGTCTCGGTCTCCTTCCAGAATAGGAAATCTTGAATGAAAAACTCAAAATTTTCTGTTGTCTACTTGGTTTTTTATTACATGTGGACAATATAGTTAAACATTTCAGTCAAATAAGTTTTCTACTGTATATTTTTTTCCTAAGTAATCATAATGTAGAATGATCAGCCTGCAACTTTCGTTTACTCTTTCTTTACATTCAAAAGTTTTAGCACTATATTTTTTTATTTATGAATTGATTTTATCGAGAAGATTGAATCATTGGCACATTAGTAGCCCTGATGTTTAAGTTGTCACAATTGGTCTTTTGAGATCAAAAACAATGTCCAAGTTGATCTTATATTAAAGGTTTTCAATGATAAAGTCATAATATAACGAATATGTTGTATAATAGATATGAGGTACACGTGGAAAGCACGTGCGCAGACACTAGTATGTTAAAGCACAAAAACATGTAGAAAAGCAAAGGCATCTCAAAACAAAACAAAGCATTACAGAAGTATGTTGTGCCAGAGTTATCAGCTCCTGCATTGTCATTTCAACCTCTGTTCTTAGCTGTTTATGAGTAACAGTGTCCATGTCCAACCTGGAAAATGATTACATGTTCTCATAAACATATTTATTGACATAAAATTGCAACAGTTTTAATAAAACAATTCAACTTACTTGGAAAAATAGCGACCTAGATTGTGCCATTGTGGGTCTTTACACATATCTCCAAATCTGATGACTTCACAACAGAAAACAGCAAAATCCTCCCTTTTGTCATGAGCAACTATAGTAAGCAGATCCTTCATATTAGTAGAAACCAACTGTTGCACACCTTTTGAAGGAAGAAGTTCCTTGTTTAAATACTCGACATTTTCTTCAGAAAGAGATTGCAATAAATTTGCAGCTTTGGTGATGGTGTTTGCAATTTCAAATGCTAGAATAGATATTTTGTCTTGTCGAGATGCCATTCCAGTCATGAAGCCTCGAGAATTCAAATTTCTCATGCTGTTGCCAAGTGTATCTAAAACTTCTACTGCCTTTTCTAGGCCAACTGTACTGGCTTTTCCAAGAAAACAGGTGGGGGCCTATAATAGAAAAATTATGTCTTGTTATCGTGTGCGAGAGAATCCATATGAATCAAAAGACAAAACCAATAACATGATGATGGTTGTTCAAATATCACACTAGCCATCAACAGAGAAAGAGAAAATAGGTGCCAAACCCACCCATATGGATATTTTCCAAAGTCATTGTTATATTGAACTAGACTCTGGGATACACCCACATGGTTCTTCAATACTTCAACTTCCATTTGTCAAATGAGCTTATCAGATGCTTAACCATCGATGTTGTTACTTATGTTTATGACATACAGCTTAATCCTAATGATTTCCAATCAATCTTGTCCCACTAGTGCTCAAGTGAACCTTAATTTCAATACCAGCAAATATTTTTTTTTTGAAATTGGTAACTTTGTGTATTTCTATCAATAATTAAGATCATACAGTACATTGGTTATACTTGCACTCTATTTACATCAAAAGACTCTTAAGAAACTGGAGCTATTCTAGTCTTCTATAGGGAGCTTAATACATCTAGAATTTCCACAGTTTCTACCGAGTGACACTGTCTACACCAAAAACTAAAGAGCAAAATAATTCATCTTCATTTGTTGGATAGAGTTGCTCCTATTTTCAAAACATCTAGAATTCCTCTCTTTCCATATTGTCCACCATATACAAGCTGGAACCATTCTCCATCTTCCTCTATCTCTGACTTCCAAACCTGCTTCTTCCCAACATGCTAGAGTTTCAGAAATCTTTCCAGGCATTATCCATGTGATACTTCTGAGTGCCAGGAACATCCTCCATACTTGACCAGTTATTTTGCAGTGGAGGACAAGGTGATTCACTGTTTCTGTAGTTTCCCCACATAGGCAGCATCTGGGACAGATGGTAATCCCTCTTTTCATCAAGTTATCTTGAATAAGAACTGCTTCTCTTGCCAAAATCCAGACAAAACATGAAACCTTATATGGTATCTTAGCCTTCCAAATGTGCTTCCAAGGCCATTCTACCATTTGATGATTGGTTTGGTTCATACGTTTGTAAGTTGCATTCACTTTGTAAGCACCACTGTTGTGTCATTCCACCATAATCTGTCAGCCCTTTCTTTTAAACCTCCAAAAGTTCCCAGCAGATTGAAGAAAGCAATCACCCTACTCACCTCCCAGTCATTAGGCATTCTTCTGAAGGTAATATCCCAACCTTCGTTTGACCACTGTTCTGCCACTGTATTATGTTGATGAAGTACAAGATTGTAGATGTCAAGGAATTTCTCTTGTAAGCTCTCGGTCCCTAGCCATACATCCTTCCAGAAAACAGTTTTACTACCATCTGCAACTTTAATGGTGCTTCTGTTTTTCAGCAAAGGCCATAAGACCCTGACAGATCTCCATAAACTAACCCCATAAGGAGTGTTGATCTCCTTTGTCATCCATCTGTCCTCTTCCTCGTACTTTGCCTTGATAGCCCTTACCCATAACATTTGCTCTTCTTGTGTGTATCTCCAAAGCCATTTTATTTTTAAAGCCTTATTCTGAAACTTCAGATCCTTGAGTCCCAGTCCCATCCTCCCCTCTTCTTACTCACTGTTAAAGCCTTCCATTTCACCAAGTAGAAACCTTTCTTCTCCTTACTTCCTTGCCACAAGAAGGATCTTCTAATGTTGTCAAGTATTTTAATAACAGTTGCTAGGATTGGAAATAAGGACATCATGTAAGAGGGGAGGGCATCTAACACAGAGTTGATGAGTATGACTCTTCCACCTAGTGACAAGTATTGAGACTTCCATCTGGAAAGTTTCTTCTCGCACTTTTCAATGACACCATTCCAAATTTCCTTGGACTTTGAATTAGCCACTAAAGGCATACCAAGATGTACAAATGGGAAGGACCCTACTTCTCCTCCCAATATCGAGGCCAGGAACTTCATATCATTGACTTCGTTAATAGGATACAATGAGCTTTTCCTCCAGTTAATATGCATACCAGACACATTCAAATACCACCAAAATCACCCTCAAATACTTCAATTGATCCACATTTGCATCGCAAAAAGTCAGAGTGTCATCTGCATACTGCAAGTGTGTAATATCCATGCTACTATTGTCCCTCCTTTCCATTTCAAAACCGTTAATCCAGCCAATGTGCTTTGCTTTTTTCACCGTATTGTTTAAACCTTCCATTGCCAAAATGAACAAAAAGGGAGATAAGGGATCACCTTGTCTTAACCCTCTTTCAGCTTTGAAAAACCCAACAGGAGAGCCATTGATCAGAACTGAAAAACTCACAGTGGAAATACAATGCCTGATCCAATTGATCCATTTGACTCCAAAGCCCATCCTCTTCAGGATATCCAATAAGAACCTCCAGTTGACATGATCATATGCTTTTTCTATATCAAGCTTGCATAGAATACCAGGTTTGTTCTGTTTGATTCTAGAATCTACAACTTCATTAGCCACCAAGACAGCATCCATAATTTGTCTCCCCTTGATAAAAGCCATTTGCTGGGAAACTATTAATTTTGCCATCACCTTTTTCAATCTATCAGTTAGTACCTTTGAAAACAGTTTATAGATACTGCCTATCATACTTATAGGCTTGAAGTCTCTCAATTCCTTAGCTCTTTTCTTCTTTGGGATTAGAGCTATAAAAGTTGCATTAAAGCTCTTTTCAAATATCTCCTGTTCATGAAAATTTCTAAATGCACCGTGATGTCTTGTTTCATTATCTCCCAACAGTTGAGGATGAAATCCATAGTGAAACCATCAGGTCCTGGAGCTGTCTCTGGCACAACATTTGAGGCAGTGCAAAACCTCCTGAAATCCATAGTGCACCTTTGTCTTGTTTAATATTATTCTTTTCATTTCTTTTTATTTTTCCCATAATTATCTTCCATATTAAATTTTAATCAGAAGTTACCATCACTTCGATCCTACTAACAGTTTCATTATTGTTTATTGTCTTTGTACTACTACCACAATTGATAGAAACCTCATCTATGATATCTTTTTCTTTCTTTTTGGGATAAATACCTAAAAAAAACCTTTAAACTTGACAAGTGAGTTGTGACACTGACGACATAGACAAAAAAATGTATCTTGTAAACACATGAATCCTACCTGGCTTACCAATGTCATTTCTGAGTGTGTGATTGTGCTGACACTTCAAGAACTCCATTCTTAATATCCTAAATCATTCATTTTCTTAAATTTCTTTTCTCCTCCTTCCCCCATGTAAAACAAACAAACCGAGAGCCAAAAAATATATTTGTCCCCCCTCCTCCCCCCCCCCCCCCCCACCCCAAAAAAAAGGATTTGACTTCTTATATAACATTTAAACAAATACAAGTAAGCTTTATTTATGATCGAAAGAACTAATAAGGCCTCAAAGTCAGATCTAAAAATGTAATGACCTTAAGTATACAAGTTAAATTAATGTAACTTAAAATAGAATACCTATTTTGTCAAGTGTATAGAAGATATAATTGGGCGTTATGAGATTTCTTTTCCAGTAAATGGTTTAACAAAAGCCATAGAGGGTACCTTGTTAATTCGTGGTGTAGAAATAGAGAAACATAATTCCTCTGGCTTTTTGATTAACCCTAACCTGCTCTCATTTGCTCTATTCCCGCTTGACCAAACACCGCCCATTTTTCTCTCCAAAAAATTTCAGATCAGTAGAACAAAAATATATATAGGATCATCGATTATATTCTTTTATTTTCAGTTTCAAGAGGGTAATCTATACCAAGATTTCGAGGATGTTGGGATAGGACAGTAATAAATTCAAATTGCCATTTTTTCCCTCACTCACAGACACGACAAGTTTGACTTTATATTTACTTGACCACATATACTTGCCAACGCTAATGAGTTGGCTCATAATAATAATAATAATAATTATGAGCCAATTTATTAGTGTTGACGGGTCTAAGTGGTCAAGTAAATATATAGTCAAACTTGTCGTGTCTGTGAGTGGGGAAAAATAGGCAATTTGAATATTCATCATCATCATCATCATCATTATTATTATTATTATCATTATTATTATTATTATTATTATTATTATTATTATTATTATTATTATTATTATTAAATTTCCAAATGGTATTTGGTACCTTGTTGGAGTGGTGGACCTAGAATTTACATAAATTCCTAACAGTACTTACTGTGAATTAGAAATCCTCTTGGCGCACGTTAACTAATGCTTGCTAACGTGCGCTTGGGGGACGATGGCTCAACAACAGAAGATTCCAAGACCACCGCAAGAAATGGTGGACAACACACGAGGGAGAACACTAACACCTGATTCTGGTATTCCACATACCCTAGCCTTGATGAAGCTATGAAGCTGGCTACCTTGTGAAAGCAGCCACTCAACAGTGTTACCCATGGTAGAAGAGGATCATCTGAAGTCTGATTTAGATGAACAGATGCCGGACGAGACTCACGCTAGGAAGCTTACCTTCTCAGTAGGGTCTCACAATACCCCAAACTCTCAAGTTGATCAGAGGACAACGGTGGAAGTAGTGCGAGGCAACAACAAATTCAAAATGGTATGGGTCACCACTATGACCCTCCAATTGTGAAAAATGGACAGACAATAGTGAAGGTTAATCCTATTGAGGTAGAAGCGGTGTGTAATAAATGGGAAAATGCCCTTATAGGGTATGTTATCGGTGATTCCCCTGCTTTCAAAGATATGTTGAAATTATTCTATGGTGTTTGGAATTTTGTGTCTATTCCACGAGTGTATCTACATGATAAGTATATTTCTCCTTCTTGTCTGAGACACATGAGGATAGAGATCATGTACTTTTAGAGGGACCTTATACTTACAACAATCACCGAATGGTGTTGAAAAACTGGGTGAAGGACTTCCAGTTCCAGCCTAAGATGCTTAGGATTATTCCACTGTGGGTGATGTTCCCAAGACTCCCACTTTACTACTGAGCTGAAGAAAATCTAGGTCGTATTGCTAGCTATATTAGCAAGCCGGTATGTGTTGATAGAATGACCGCAAATATTGAAAGGGTCTCATTTGCTCGAGTTTTGATAGACTGATATAACTCAGCAGCTTCCACAAGAGCTTTATATTGAAAAGCCTGATGGAACTTTGATCACTCAAGCGATTAAGTATGAGTGGACACCACAGTTTTGTCATACCTGTATGAAGATGGAAAATAAGGAAGGTGAATGTAAGCATGGCAAGCCAGCTCCACCAGTTATACATCTAGCAAGGAGAAGATGACCTCCTCCACCTGTGTGGCAAGCTAGGCCTGCTAAGCACCAAGAGCACCCAGCAAAGGGGAAGGAAAAGGAGGACAATAATAAGGAGAATGTCAATGAAGAGAAATCCATTCCTTTCCAAATAGTCAATCCAAAGCTAGGGGTACTCAAACTACAACTAAGGAGGATAATGTTGAACCTCAAACCTCCAACAAGTTTACTCCCTTAGAAGACCATCAGAATGACTCAGATGAATGGACACACAGGGCTAAAACACATGCACCTCCCAATATAACATGATTATCAGTTCCTGGAATATTAGGTAGGACTGTACCAACCCTATAAGCAGGAGTTGACAGTTTTTCTGCTGAATTATAGAGTGAACTTTATGGGGTGTGTAGAAACAAAGATTCAAGATCACAAAGCTGAGAGAATTAAGATTAAATTGGGACAAGATTGGAAGGTCTATGTTAACCCTACTATACTTAATGGGAGAATATAGATTATTTGGCAACACAGCAGAGTGGAGGTAATTGTTTCGATTAGTACTGCTCAACTGGTGCACTATAAAGTACAAGGCAAAGACTCTGATTTCTCTTGTTTAATCACTATAGTGTATGACTTTGATACCCCAAATGCTAGAATGAGGCTGTGGGACTCTCTTAGGGGTCTTACTCTAAATAGTAGTGAACCATGGTTGATATTGGGTGATTTCAATGCCATATTGTCTCATGAAGATAGACTCAATGGTGAACTTGTGAAGCCCAGGAAACAGTGGACTTCCAATCTTGTGTTGATGATATAGGGGTGGGACAGCTACTAAGAAGAGGAAGACATTTCACTTGGTGTAATAAGAGGGATATAGCTACTAGAATATATACCCACGTTGACTAAGCATTTGGTTATGTTGCATGGACTCTTAAGTATGGGGATATTGAGGCTGATTTTGTAGACCCAGGACGTTCTGATCATACACCTATTGTAGTGAATACATGCACTGTTCAGATTCAGGTTAAAAGGCCATTTAGATTGTTAAATGTGGTGATGAAGCACCATAGCTTTAAGGACCTTGTGATCTCTACTTGGAATCAACAGGTGAATGGGTATGAGATGTTTAATATATGTACCAAGCTACAGAAAATAGCCCACCAGGCTCAACACATTCAAAGACAGTACTCCTCTGTTAATACAAGAAAAATGACCTTTAGCGAGAGGACATTTGGTTGTTTCGGTCGCTAAAGGTCATTAACGACATGAACCAATCCGGTCATTGTCCGTCATTAAAATTTCTGATGTTGAAAGTTTAACGACGGATTTTTGTTCGATCGTTAAACGAACTTTTAACGACAACATATAATCCAGTCATTATATATTCTTTAACTAGGTAATTTACCCACGCTGCGCGCGGTCATAAATAATAATTGCATTGAACTTGCAAATAATCATTTACTAATATCCATACATTAAAAATAATGGAAAAAATAGGTTCTTAAAAAATATTAGCAATATTCCAACATTAATTTGATTATTTGTCATTATCACATAACTCAAAAAACTCTAATGAACGAATTATTCAGGAAATAATAAATTATTGGTTCTTTAATCAACATTAAAAGGAAAATAAAGAAAAACATAAGAATATATATACAAAGGTATTTGGTAAAAAAGAACACATTTAAGTTGCATAGATTATACAATTGTGATATATGTCTAAGGAAAAAATTTTAAAAATTGTTAACAGATTTAAAAAAGAAATTACGCTTGAACATGAAAGTAATTATAACTTTTGAACTTGCATAATGAATTTCCTCAATTGATAAGTGAGAAACTTCATATCTATGTAAAAATAGATAATATGTAAGCTTAATTATATATAGTACTTTTAAGTTATAGAATATCAAAACATAAATTCTTGGAACTGAGTACAAGAATTATTTTCTGCACAATGAATATACCTACTATATGTGTATACGTTCAATATAACCAAAGACAATAACTTTGCAGAAACATAAACAATAGAGTTTAAAAAACATGTACTCAAAAACAATAAATTAATATTATAAGCATAAATTAATGACCGCGTAAAAAAACATATCAGGATATGTAACAATAGAATGAAATAAAAAGGAAATAATCGAGTCCACTGAATGGACGGTGTCCCTTTAAGAAAACTATTCCCCTCTAATACCCGAGGTTTAAAGAATTAGATCATCTCAGGATGAAACATTTTTACTCACCAATGTATTGATACAAAAACAATGGTGTCAGTAAGCCACTCAACATGAGCAAAGTACACAAATATTTAATTGTGCAGAAGAAGAAAAAGTTCAGAATTTTCGTTGTTTTAAAATTAGAAGAAATCCCTCTATTTATAGACAACAAAGGGTAGTGTGAACAAATGCTTATTGTGCCTTATCGGAAAGGTCACAACTCTTTGGAAAAGTCATAACGCTTCGGAAAGGTTACAACCTTTCAAAACATCACAACCTTTCGTAAAAGTCGCAACTCTTCATAAAAGTCACAACTTTTCATAAAAGTCACAACTTTTCATGAAAGGGGAAGGTTAGTTTTGGAAATAAATAAATTAAAAAGCAATCCTTGTTTGCGGTGGCGACACGTAGGCGGGCCTAGGGTTCTCTTTTATATATATGATGATAGATACTGTATTTTCCCTACGCTAATTAATCAGTCCGGTCGTTAAAAATCATTAGCAACAACTAATATCTAACTAGTACAAGTATTTTTAATGACAAAAATTCCTTTCGTTAATTGTATGCCAATTTTGACACCAACACTTTAAATGTCCAAAATTCCCCATCGCTAATGGTAATTTAAATATTAGATACACCAATCATGAAAGAGTTTCATAGACCACATTTTCATTTGCTATTATAAAATATTTTACAGCTGAACTTATAATAATAATAATTTCACACACATCCAAAAATATATTAAATAATTGAATTGATATTTGATATAAAAATCATCATTAATAAAAAGAACTAAAGAAAGATATATACCATTTCAAAGTTGAATGGCATCAACTTTAATCAACTCCTTATTAAAAAGAGGAAATTTTGCAACACATATACTTAATATATAATCTTTAAACCACCCCTAACTAAATCCTCGCGAACTTCAACTTGCTTCTTTACTTTGTTGAACGATAAATTCTTCATTTCAAATTCATGAGTTGCAAAAAAACAAATGTATATCAGTTTAATAACAAAGAATTAAGAGTTTAAAGAAGAAACACATATAGAACCTCAAAATATTTACCAAAAAAGGATGCAACAAAAAAATTAAAGCTTCTAAAAAAGCATGTGAACAATAACTAATATATTTATCGGACCTCATTAGCAGAGTAAACCATGTCGCTACAACAATTGTTAAAATCCATCTCAAAAGAATCCGATGAAAGA